TGGGTGTGGAATTTTTTAATATTAATATTATTATTATTATTATTATTATTATTCATCAATGAAAAAACTCTTAGGTGATATTACCTTTTTGTGGGGTTTTGGGGGGGTTTTTGTTTTTAATTAGAGCAGGAGTTGTGACCCTGGCCAGCTCAGGTTGCTCACAGTCACATCCATGGTCTCAGAAGTTTGGGAACCCTTGGAGACGGGGGCTGTGGGGCCATAAAAAAGACCCAGCTCTGCTTCTACCTGCCCAGGGCTTCCTGTGGTATCCTACCAGGGGAAACAAAGCATTCCACTCTGAGCCCTTTGCATTCCAGGGCAGCCCTGTGGGGTAATATATAGCTAGAAAACATGAGAGATTTGCCCAATGATGGATGGGGAGCTAGAGTGGTACACAAACCCTGGTCTCCTGGCTCCAAAATGGGCCTCATACCCTTGGCCTCATTTGCCACAGCCTACCGGGGAGAAGGAAACACAGGTGGTGTGAGGAAAAAGTTCCAGGGCAAAGTGAACTCTTCTACACTTAGAGAAGAAAAGTGTCTGCTGAGCTGAGAGTCACTCGGTTTTCATAAACTATTTTAAAAGGATCAAGCACTTTAAATACTAGTAGCCTACAGAGCTAGCTAACTGGCACACAGGCCAAATGTAGGCTTGCTCACTACAAAAAAACCTCAGGTTTGCTGGGGCATTAAAAATAGAAAAGGGAAATGTGTGTTCTTTTAAAAATCATAAACCATGTTTGCTCAACAGAAGTCCCAATCAATGAGATGATTTACTCACAAGGGGGGTGGAAGGGGGAGAAACATCTAAGGAAATTTGGAGTATTAAAAAATACTTTATTATTTAGAAAGAACTGCAAAGAAAAAAAGTTCTACATTTCTCCTGAGTTCTACAAGAAAAGAACAGCCACGGTATTCTGTTACCTGCTAGCTCAGAAGATGGTTTCCTCCCTCTGCCCCGCTTCCTTCCTTCTCCCGGTCCTGAATCAGCAGTGTATGCGCTCAACTGTGTACTGAGCACCTCCACTGTCTACTGGGGAGTCAGTAGATAAGAACACAGAAGAGACCCTCGTGCCCTTGTGCATCATCATTCTTACACTCTAGTCAAATTTTTGTTTAGGGCTCACTATGTAGACATCACTGGGGAAAATTAAGGCATTTTACAATACCTACAATTTTCTACTCCAGAAATATTCCCAGTTTCACAGGCATTTGTTATACTCACAAATTCCCATTTTCCTCTGGAGAAAATAAGGCACAACAAAATTAAACAGAAATAAAGTGATATAATTCCTGTCAGAGAGCAAGTCAGTGGCAGAAATAATAATAATAACAGCTATAACCAAAACATGGTAAAAAGAAGCCAAGTTCAATTCAGAAATTGAACACAAATTATTATTTTAAAAGCAGACACTAAAAAGTCCAATATATACTATCCTACTTCAAGGCTGTATTTATCTCCAGCAAAACTTTGACTCATGAATTAATCATAAAGTTATGTTGAATCTCCATAGGTAAAACTAACATTCTAACTATGGAAAAGTATTTTAAATTACTACAATTGAGGGTATTTGTTGGCTTTCCTAGGAAAGACCTTAACTCAACTGTAAGATCAGTCATGAAAATGGGGCTCTTTCTGTTCTCCATATATTCTTAAATCATGAGAAATGTTGATTATCAAAATGCTAACAGGTTAATAGCAACAGCAATCTTGAGAAAAAAGAACAAAGTTGGAGGTGTCATGCTACCTGATATCAGATTATACTACTTGGCCATAGTATTCAAAATAGCATGGTACTGACATAAAAACAGACATAGATCAATGGAACAGAAGAGAGAGCCCAGAAATAAGCCCACATGTTTATAGTCAATTAATATTTGACAAAGGAGGCAAGAACATACAATGGGGTAAAGACAGTCTATTCAATAAATGGTGTTGGAAAAATTGAACATATACATGTAAAAAATAAAACTGGACTACCTTCTTACACCATATATAAGAATAAACTCAAAATTGATTTAAAACTTAAATGTAAGGCTCAAAACATTCCTAGAAAATAACATAGGTTATGAAATCTCTCACTTTTCTCTCAGCAATGATGTTTTTTTCTGGTACATCTCCTTAGACAAGGGAAATAAAAAGAAATAAACAAATGGGAGTATATTGAACTAGGAAGTTTTTGCACAGGAAAGGAAACCATCAATAAAATGAAAAGACAACCTACTGAATGGAGGAAGATATTTTCCAACAATACATCTGATAAGGTGTTACTCTCCAAAATTTATAAAGAATTCATACAACTCAACACCAAAAAAAAAAACAAAAAACAATCTAATTAAAAAATGGGCGGAGGACCTGAATGGACACTTCTCTAAAGAGGACATACAATCAATGATAGACATATGAAAAGATGCCCAATGTTGGTAATAATAAGAGAAGTAAAAATTAAAACCACAATGAGATATTACTTCACACCTATTAGAATGCCTCTCATCAAAAATCCACAAAAACCAAGTGCAGGCAAGGGTGTGGAAAAAAGGGAACCCTAGCACACCGTTGGTGGGAATGCAGATTAATGCAGCCACTATAGAGGATCCTAAAAACAAATTAAAAAATGGAACTGCCTTATGACCAAGTGACTGGTCATCCTTATGACCAAGGATGTATACACTTCTAGGTATACATCTGAAGAAACCCAAAACATCAATTTAAAAGAATAAATGTACCCCTACATTCACTGCAGCGTTATTCACAATAGTAAAGCTATGGAAGCAACACAAGTGCCTTACCAAACAGACAAGTGGATAAAAAAGTTTCAGTACATATATACATTGGAATATTACTTGGCCATTAAAAAAGAGTAATTTTTACCATTTGCAACAGCATGGATAAACCTCAGGGGTATTATGATAAGTGAAATAAGATGGACAGAGAAGGACAAAAACCACATGATTTCACTTACATGTGGAATCTAAAGAACAAAATAATTGAGCAACAACATTGAAACAGATTCATAGATACAGAGAATAGACCAATGATTATTAGAGCAGAGGGCAGTTGAGGGACTGGGTGAAAAAGTGAAAGGGTTAAAAAGTACAAATTGGTAGATACAAAACAGTCCCAGAGATATAAAGTACAGCACAGGGAACAATACTGTAATAACTATGTATGGTGCTGGGTAGGAACTGAAAATATTGGGGAAACACTATAAAGTACATGACTGTTTAACCACTATGCTATACATCTGAAACTAATATAAAATAATATTGAATATAACAATAATACTAACAGGTCAGAGGGCAATAACATTTTTTTTGCCATGAATAATACAATACCTTAGAAGGCAAGCTATTTAGGATGTAAAAATTCAGAGATTCAGTTGGAAGTTGGTCTCAAGGGGCTATTATGTTTTTCAAGGTTAGTTGGCTCTAGAAGAGCATTGTTCTTGGTACCCCAGCCCCAGGCAGCCACCTGTGCTTTTCTATTGTGTCGGAGTAGTTGAAGAGGCAGCAACACCCCCAAACCCTACAACAACATAGAGCACAGTGGAAATTTTTCCCACTCCTTTATGGGAGCCCTTCAACTCTGTCACCTTCCACATAATTCCTCCTATTGACTCCACGGATTATAAAAATTATCTGATCTGAGAGAAGCCTAGAAATCCATGGGCAAGCATTCCTTGGTCAATGCTAACACCCCCTTTTGGATGTTTACTGTGCATAGTACTTAATTCAGAACCCAGGAAAGTGCTGTAGTGAAGAAACCTGTTCAACTCTAATTCATCATTTTTCTAGACTTATTTGATCATGAAAAAAAAATTTTTCTTTAATATCCACTAACATCTTTTGTATTCTTTGAGACATTGTCTTGGAAAATCCTGGTTAAATTCAAGCTTTCCTCTCTCTCACTTTGTATGAGGATCCCAATCAAATATAACTAAACCACAAAAGATACACAGTAAGTGTGAACTGAGTGAATGAACAGACTAACAAATTAATGAGTGAATGACTCAGTGGATTTACTCTAAGGTCTTATACATCCCAGTGGAAGCCTTGGCAGCAATGAGCCAAATACTCAATGCCCATTCTCCCTCTCACATGGGGAAAGGGCTCCTGGAATTGCAGGCCCACCGTGCTGCAGTCCCCTCTGTGACCAACCAGCCTAAGGGCCATGCTGCTGGTGCTTGGACTCTGGGCAGGGCAGAGCAAGCACTGGAGTCTGGGCTTTAATGTGGGATTGTGTGTGGGGACCTGACAAGCTAGGCCACTTGTTGGGACCCATTGCCTGTCGAAAAATGGATCTAATGTTTATGTAGTATGAAAAAAAGGGAGGATGTGCTCTGGGTTACTTATCTAAAACCTTTGGGCAGCTGTGTTAAGGAATTCATAATTCTTCTGATTTTTAGGAAGAAATGCAGTGCAGATACTCTATGTTGTGTAACACCACTCACAGGGCACCTGGGTCACTGCCCTATTAGCAAATGTTAATATTCCTTAAATAAAACACACAGATAGGTGAGATAAGTAAAATCTATAAATAGTTTCAAGTCAGTTCAGGTCAGATCTTTCTGGCAAATGGGATCAGGTATTAAAAAAACACTGGTTTTTACAGCTTTCTGGATTTTAGGGTTGTACACAAGAGAGTGGGAGTCGTTAATGTGCCTCTCTCCAGAAGGACACCTGCCACAAAGAGAAAAAGGTGGACACTGAGTCTGTGCAGTTACTTTAAGAACTCCTCTTTATGGAAAAATCCCATCTCCAGTGCACCACAGTGCTCTTTCTTATTTGTAAACAAAATACTCCCCCATGTTTCATTTCTGATCCACGCACTTTGGACCTTGCTTTAATGTTGTTTGCTTTGATTTGGAATCCACTCTAAAGAGAATCTATCTGCCCTTGAAGGACTTACAAGAACATTAATCTATTTTGACTAATGAGGAGGGGGTTTCCCAGGCAAAAGGTTGAAGAACAAAGTTTTAATGAGTCGCCAGTAAATTTCTAAAAGTGTTCAATGTGCCTACGATTTTGGGTGAAAGTAATCACACAGTTTTTAATGTGCCTGGTGACACAATGACTTGTTTCTCTCCTTATATGAGCTTCAGTAAACTCAAATACCAGTCTCTATGACTTCTGGCTTTATGGTCTCAGATTCTAACATACAAAGAATGGTTAAATGCAGACTATCCCCTGTGACAATTTCCACGGGCCTCCAATTTTCTTAAGTGATCTAGCAAAATCCTCACAACATAATCAATTATTATTTGCTTTAATAAATGAAATATATATGTACTTTACATGAAGCACTTGGCAAAGATACTAATCAAATAAGTGACAGGGGTTCCAGCTTCATAATGGTTGTAAATATCCAATCTAGTGTAGCATTGGGATATGCCATAACACCAGAGGGCCCTGTTTATAGAATACCTGCAGGATATTCCTTGGTGTTCTGGAAAAGTTGAAACACCAAGACTGTAACTTCTTCATCTTCAGGCTGTAGGTTGACAAATAGAAGTGAAGATTTTGCAAAATCGAAGTGCAGCAAAGACTCTCAAATAACCTTGAGTTATTCTTTTACTTCAGACAGGACAGCACCCAACTGCTCAGATTCATCATATCCACCTCTGTTTTCAAGGCTCTCCTGACATAAGAACTCACCAGTGCTTATAATCCATTCCTGGGTTTAAAGTCCTTAAATGTCTCTTTCTGACAACTCAGCTCAAAGTTCCCAGATAATAGGCCAATTACATTAGGTCACCGGAAACTTAGCCTCACCAATAATCTCAAGAAGGGAATTTCCTAAATCTCATACCCAACAGAGGATTTAGGACAATGAGTTCCTTTCTATTAATCTTTAATTCCTGAAAATGCCAGTAATGGTCTTGTGTGCTTCTCTTTAGGCCTTCTAGGTGAGAATCTGAGATAGTGGCTACTGGAGGTGATACCAACAGTAAAGGCTGCCTTCATCCAGCTTCTAGGTGGCATTTCATCCTAGCCACTGGGAAGTGGCAGCAAAGTCAATCCGAGGGCCAGTGGCAGAGCAATGACATGTAGCTTCCTGGGCAATCAGATCTTGCTCAGCACCCAGGGGAACAGGATATAAAAGATGAACAACTCGGGAGCCAGAGGCTCTGTGCTTCATGCCTGGCTCTCTGAGTAGGGAGAGATACTCCTGCTCTCAGGGGGCCAGTGATGGGAAGCATGTGCAAAGGTCAGAAGAATGTGTGTTGGGCCCTGGTTGGATGGCTCGGTTCGTTGGATCATCATCCTGTACACCAAAAGGTTGTGGTTCGATCCCTGCTTGGGGTTCATGCAGGAGGCAACTGGTGGATGTTTTTCTTTCTGTCTCTCTCCCTTCCTCTTTCTCTCAGATTAATAATCATGTCCTCTGGTAAGGATTAAGAAAAAAGAGTATGTGTTAAGTGAGGGTGGGGAACACCTGAAGAGAAATCAGTTTCTCAAGGCTTCCTTCTGTAAGAGCTCACATACAGCCTTAGAACGGTGTCTGATACGGGGAGAGCTTGCTACACACATGTGCTCTCCGAGTTTCCTGACCTGTCACTCCAGGCACTGTGTTCTGGACTTCCCTCTCAGCTGGGTCCTTGTAGTTCAAGCACTTCTCCTTAGAAATACTTGTGTAGAAACCTGAAGTTAGAATTTTGTAATGAAAGAAACAGTTTAAACATTGGCAATTAAAAATAAAAGAGTGAATCCCCATTTATATAACATTCTCAAAATAACAAAATTACACAGCCAGAGAACAGATTAGTGGTTACCAGGTAGGAATGGAGGAGGGTGTGGGAGGTGGCAGAGACCCTTGAAACTGGAACAGTTCTGCATCTTAATTGTGGTGTTGGTTACAGGAATCTACCACCAGTTTAATGGGACAAAACTGCATAGACATTTACACACTCACAAATTCCTGCATATAAGACTGGCAAAATCTCAATAAGCTCTGTGGATTGTACCAGTGTCAATTTTCTGGTTTTACTACCTAGTTCTACAAGATGTTACCTTTGGGTGAAACTGATTGAAGGGTGCATGGGACATCCTTGTACATTGTCTTGCAACTTCCTATAAATCCCTAATTATTCTATAATAAAAATTTTAAATGCCTGAATCCATGAAGGAATTATATATGAAATTAGCTGAACAGTTAAGGTAAGCATAAATAGGTAGATAGACAAACTCCTAATAATATACACTGTTTTTGTTCTGATATTAACTTTCCATTATTCCTCACTAAGGGGTTGGGAAAATCTTTATTCCAGAACCATCACTTTGCAAAACATTCTGCATATTGTAGTTGCTATGAAGAGTATTTTCTAAAATTGTGCAGTAGTCAACGGGTGCAGCAATACACAGCAACCCTACCTTTAGCCAACTACAGGAAAAGGATGTATCTCGGTCCCTGATTCTTTATTTTCATCATCCTGGTTTCATGATCTTCTGTATCTCAAACTACTCCACTTTCAAGCCAGTCTGGATTAAAATAATCACATTTTTGTATCAGCACTGATATTCTGATTACAGAGAATTCTCAGTTTCATACTTCTCAATCTTCAGACAAAAAAAAACCAACATATTTTATTCATGTATTCAATAACTTTCAGTTAAGTACTTACTATGAGCTATAAGGGTCAATTTCTGTATTGTTATTCCCACCATGGTGAACCATGATTCACATAGACATCCATGCAATGCTATAGTTTAAGGTACTTCATGCTCTTCCCCTGGTTACTTTGCAAAATGCTTTCTACCTGGAACTGGCTTCTCTTTGTAGCTCTGGTGTAGATCTAATTCCCTAACTTTTTGGCAGGAGAGCTTCCAGTGTGAAAGCCACTTGAAACAAGATTCCCAGGATGCAGAAGTTGATTCTGTATCTCTTTACAAGTTGCACCCTCAACTGTGGCTGGTATTGTTCCACCACTGCAACCTATCACTGTGTGGGCCATTGACAATCACACTGTTCACAACAGGACTGGTCTCAGGACCAGCCCCATGTAGGTTCAGTGAGGGGAAGCAGATAGAGACAGGTGAGTAATGGACAGGGAGGGATGAGAAGGTGGTGGCAGGGGTGGAGCTGGGAAAAGGGCCCGATGTGTGAGGCAGTGCCTCAGCCAGTGACTCATGGAGCTCTCCTTTGTCAGGAGGGGTGGGGCAGAGGCAGAGCTTGCCTGGACCATGCAACCACACCCAGCACAGGTTCTTTCCTGATCTCCTGCACTCAGGCTGCTTCCTGATCCCTGAGTTGGGACAAAGCCAACAGGTGATCTCAGGGTTTGGCTCTTTCCCCAAGCTCCTAAAAGGAGACTAGCCTTGAAGGTCTGATAAAGGTTTAGAGACAGGCTAAGAAAGGGTGGAGTGGGAGTGATCTTCAAGCTCCAGTATCCCAAAGTTTCCCTGGAGCAACTTTGGTCTCAACACATGCTCTCACACTCACACACACACACTCTCCCTCTCATGCATGTGTAAGTGCACACACACACACCTGGTATTGCCGGTCATTAATTCTCCTCACCCCCCACTTCTCCACTGAGTCTGAGCAGGAAAGAGTCCATATGGCCAAGGGGCTAAGTTATTTACCTTTTCCTATCTTTAAGAAAGAACATGAAACAGGAAGGGAGATTACTAATTGAAAAAGAAGACTTTGCTTAAACTCCACTAACCTGAGCTTGCAAGTAAAGAAAATTCTGCATAATTTAAAAAACGAAGGAGGAGGACAGGAAAAACTCCTCTGTCCTTAGCCATCAGACTTGTTTGAATCCTAGCTACATTACCTATTAGCTGTGTGACCTTGGGCAAGTGTGTATGGGGGGAGGGGGTTAATCTCTACGTGCCTCCTGCTCCCCATCCAAAAAACGGAGATGATGATGATACCAACTTCATAGGATTTGAAGAGACTGAAGGGGTTAATTTGTGAGAAAGCAGAAAGAGTGCCTGGCGGGCACATGGCAATGCTCTGTACACTGAGAGGGCTTTTACAGGCTCCTGGCTCCCATAGCAATTCAGTTTTCACTGCTTCTGCCTCCCCTCTGCCCTTGCATTCTTTCATCTTTCCTCAAGCAGCTTCTTCTCCATCATCCCCTTTCCCCTAAGAGGCTGCCCAGGCTCATAATTAAGAGCAGGGCTTTGGAGACTGATGGAGTTGGAATCACATCCTTGCTCTCCCACATCCTGGCTTGGGCAAGTGCTGGCCTTTCTGTGCCTAGATTTCCTTACCTGAAACCTGTGTCAACAGCCTGCCTCCCAGATCTAGTCACAACCTGGAGGCTGCTGGTGACAGGTAGAAATGCCTGTCCCTGAAAAGCAACTCATCAAAAGACATGTTCCACTCAGGTTTCCCTCCCACCCCTCAGGACTCCCCTTTCCATTCTTTGCCTCCACCACATAGCTGGCTAAGAACACGGGTGGCCACTCTGTGAGTACTCATAGCCTTCCCAGCACAGTGCTAAGAACTCTATTCCCTGTAACCCTTGAACAACCCCAGACTTAGAATCTGCTCTCTACATCCAAGAGCCCCTCTCTGTCTTTCCTGAGAAAATGACTGAAGTTAACAGTGCGCTGTTGTCAAGATCAAAATCAATGGCCTTGCTGTGGAAAGGGAAGAGGAAGAGATGGGGGAACAGCAGTGGGGCTGCCAACCCACCCAGTTTGCCCAAGACTCAGGGGTTTCCCAGGTCATGACACTTGCATGGCCAAGACTGGGAGGGTCCTGGGCAGACTGGGACAACTGGTCACCCCAATAATCCAGTCATCCATAATACCCAGTACCCCTGGCAAGTATCTGTTGCTGCTATAACAATGGCTCAGAGACTGAAGTGACAATTTTAGGAAAGTCCTTCACTTCTCTGAGCTTCAGTTTCCTCATCTTTAAAGTGGGGTTGCCATGGATACCTTCTCACAAAGCCACGTCATTGAGAGGAAAAAGGAGCAAGAACATTGGTGTCCCCAGCACCAATGTGTGGGGGGCCCCTGCCACACAGTGAGCCCCCCACAGGCGCAAACATTAAGTCCTGGAAAGTGCTTCCTGCTAGATGCTGACTCTGGCTGCTTAGTTACTGTCCCCAACTGTCAACTCCCTCACCTGTCAAATTGGTTCAGGAATGAGTTTACAGTAAATCGGTGACATAAAGCTTGTCTTCCAGATGCAGGCCCTCTGGAAACATGGGTCCCCTTCCCTCTGCAATATTCACCTTTTCCCAGTCTTTGGGGAAGAAGAAAAAGAGGAAGGGAGAGAGCTGGCTAAAAAAGGCTGTGCTGAGACTCCACTGGCTGGGCCTTGGGGTAGAGAACAGGCTGCTTTTTTTTAAGGAAGAGATCAAAACCTAAGACTCAGACTGGCTGGAAAACCCCAGTCCCTCCCACCCTTCACCACCAGACACCAGACAAGGAAGTCCCTCTGCTCAACAGTAGGGGAAGAGACTTTGTGAGGCGGGGCAGGTAAAGATGAGAGGGTATCATAGTGCTCCAGCTTCGGCCCAATGCTGGGGCTGACATGCTGGCTCACCAATACACCTGACACCCACTGGCTTGAAGAGCACAGGAATGTCTGAGGGGTGCATGACATGGAGCAAAGCCATCACCCTTGGTGTGTGAAGGCCACACTCCTCAGTCATCTCCATTAAAGCCTCTGGCCCCATGCCCTGTTTCTGACCTCTGAGCCTTGGCTGGGTTTGGGGTGAACTCCACACCACTCCTGGACCCCTAGCATCCATGGCAGCAGCAATGGCTGTGTGTTTCTCTTTTCTTCCAGGCCTTGCTTGTCTGGCCCTGAAGAAGGAACTGCTCCAGCATGGGTCTCTATGGCAGTTATGTGAAGGTCGCTGGCTCAAATGTTGCTATTTTTTAACACTTATTAGGTGCCAGTGGCATGCTGGGCTGTAGAGGAAGCAGAGGTAGGCAGAGTGGGCGGGCAAGTAGCTGTCTGAGATAAACAAATGCATGGCATTCCAGAGCTCTGAGGGCAGATGCCCCACAAAGCCTGAGCCCAGGGCAGCCCAGTCTATGTTGTCACCTTTCGGGACATTCTCAGAAATTTCTACTCCAGCACTCAGCGACAGGATAAAGCAGAGCCTAAGGACTTCTTGGCTGCCGCTGTAACTCTCAGTCACCAACATCAGCATTGCCAGCCACTCCCAAAATGACATACTTTGCTCCCATGGCCCTTTGGCTCCCTTGACTTCAGACCCTCAATAAAAAAAAAGCTGGAAGCAGGGAACAGTCACTTTAACCTGGAATTCCTCCTCTCTGTCCCCAGGGACAGATAAGGGGGTTGAGGATTTAGTCTGACCCAGAAGGAAAAGCCATCACTTTGGAAGGGGTCAAAGGGATGCAGTGAGAGGGGTCAACAGAGCTATAAGTGCAGGGACCCGACTGGAGGGATGGAATCCACGTTTTCCATTGCCTTTCATCTTTCTACTGCCCCTTACCACCTGGCCCTGAGGGTGCTCAGCTCCCTGGGTGCAGCATGGAAACACACAGGATGGAGCTGGGACAGATGGAGCAGGGTGTGTGCAGTCGCTGCTCCAAGAGGAGGCGGAGTTCAAGCCCGATTCTACCCTGACTTGGGACAAGTTATTTCACTTCTGGGCTTTAGTTTCTTCATTTATGAAGTAAACAGCTGGCCTGTGATAGATTCACAAAGGTCCTTTCAACTCTCTCATTCAGCGATGTGTCAGTCTATATTCAGCAGAGTGTCTCCTCACATGCCACCTGAATGAGCAGTCAGCCCCCTTTCTGGTGGGGGACAGAGGCAGATAAGGATGTGATGAGAGGGCCATCTGTGGGGTTCTCCCGTGACAGATGCTCTTCACGTCTTTCTGTCACATGGCCTTGCCAGGTCTTCAAGGTTTGACACTGGAGGTTCCCTCTCCACAACCCCCCGCCCCTGCCCCCCGCCTGCACACATCCTTGCTCACCTTCCAGTGAGGCATGGCAGCCAGGACAGGGTACCCCAGAGCATTCCTGAACGTCAGTGCCCATCGCCCCTGTTCCAGGTGCCTCGGCAGAGATCTGGCTGGGTCGTCAGCTGTTCCTAAGCCAGAGGAGCTCCTTGAGTTACAACATGGAGAGGACATGGAAATTGAAACAGGAGAAGCAGCTCTCGGAGCCAGAGGGCTCCTGGGGCAGCTATGGAAAGACAACCCAGCCAGAGTGACCACATTATTTATTGGTTCTCTTGGGAAGACATATATGGTTAAGAAAACAACCTCTTCATGTCACAAGACACGGCTTCTTCGTGGTTCACCAAAACACCACCAAACATTCAAAGACAGCTGCCAGGCACGGGAAGCACCGAACAACTGCATGTTGGCACCATTTTTTCCCCAAGCTCCTCATAGGATGTGGGTTCAGAGAAACAGTGTATTAGGTCACGAGAGGGAGGGAGGCACCCTGCTGAAACGGAGAGTCTTCCTGAGGGACCCCCAGTCCAGCAACCCCAGCTGAGCGGGCTAAGTGGAATCTCGGAGGCTTGAGCCACGTTGTCTCTACCAGGGGGAGCGAGTTGAATAGCCGGGGCTTGGAATATTTTGAGAAACAAAGGAAATTACTACACGCTCCCCTCCAACCAGCGAAAGCCCAAAGCTTTCCCACAGCTTTCCCAAACTACCACCTTGGCCTGCAGAGAGGAGAAAGGCTGGGGGGTGGGGAAGCTGTAGCGGAGGAGGAGGAAGGCTGGCCAATTAGAAGTGATGTCATGTGGCTGCAGCTAAAAAAACACTCCGCAGCTGAGTGCTGGGGCGTCAATGCCACGTCAGTTGTTGGACTGGGGAGTGGGTTTCACCAGGTTGGATCAAGTGGCTGTTTTCCTAGAAACTGGGCTTCTGGTTGCTAGGGCTGATAAGGTGGGGAAATGCTACCCCCAGGGTTCATGGGAAAACATTTTGACATTGAAGAAGAGCTGGGACATGTTAACCGTTGAGGAAAAACAGAGCAGCCCCAGCTTAGTGGCTGTGGCTACCAGCCCTGCAGGACTCTGATTACTGACTCTAGGATACAGCAGCCAAGAAATCAGGTGGTGCGTGTCCCTGAGACTTCGGGGTGGAAATACCAAAGGACACACCACCTAATGTGGCTCTGGGGCACCCCGTCTTCTCCCAGTGTCCTCAAGAATCCAGCCTCCACTCTAGATGGCTGTGAGCCCTTGCATCACATGTGTGCAGACGGCTGCTCTTTGAAGTGACTCCAGACATTGGACATGCGCTGACGTGGCACCTCAAGGCCAGGGCAGAGAAGAGTTACCCAGGGCAATTCGAAATGATCTGCAGCGGGACTCAGGAGGCCCCTCGGAGGCTCCTTACTGGGACAGGTCTGTGCTGGCAAGTGTAGCCAGAAGGGCAATGGCCTTGGAGACATTCTCTGCTGGAGGTGGGGACCATGGGACAGTCTGCAAAGGGAAATGCTTGGGGTGATTCAGGAAACAAAATCCCTTGGCAGAAAGTCAGGGCTGGCCTAACGTACACTGGTGCCTGCCCTGTGACAAATGCTGTTGTAACGAGGTGCCTCTACATCTCCATTTCATCCACTCGGGGTACAGCCTCCCTGAGATGTGCAAAGCTCAGGCCTTCTGTTGGGGCATCTGAATGCCCACCACTTTTGGCCTGACCAAGACAGCTATGGGCCACCTAACGGACCCATGCAACTGAATTTAGTTGTCCTGTGGTATTATCTGTAGGCATCTGCGAGCTCTTAGTAGAGGACCAGCGAGAGCACTGAGTTCAGAAGGCAAGATCCAGATGCCCTTGTGGATGGAGTCCCCACCCACCCCTACCACAGTCCTGCCCTGTAAGTTATCCTGGCAGCCTGGGTGCCAGTTCATTTCCCACAGTGTCTATTTCTGCCTATCAGTGGAAGTAAAAGCTAATGGGTCCCCTACTTCTCTGTGGTTCTCGTTCATTACTTCCGATCTTCCCTTCGGAACTGATTGTGTCCCAGAGAGTCATGGGAATAATGCAGGGAGAAGGGAGAACAGAAAAGCAGATGAGAAAAGGAGAGAGTCTAAAACCAGCAACCCAGTGAGACAAGGTAAGAAAGTGGGGGGACATGTGGCCAGGCAGAGAGGAGCAACACTAGACAGGAACCCACTGGCACAGGGTTAGGGAACAACAGACAATGCAAAGGAAGAGAAATCTAATCTTTAAAAGAAGATTTAAAAGAAAGTAGACAGAGATTGAAAATTTGAAGGGAAAACAAATTTGGCCAGTTAGAAACATGGCCATATAAATATATTACATACATACATATATACACATATAGATGTAAATATAAAAAGAGACATAAAAGTGAGCAAGAGAAACAAAGAACAAGAAGTAAACAGTTAATTAGAGCAATAAGTTTGTATTCCAGAGAGCTGGTAGAAACAAGCACTTTGCAAATTTATTCTAAATGGCAGATAACAATTGTAAAGGTTATAGTATTAATACTATAGAGCAGTAATACTTTGTGATTGAATAATCTTTATTTTTGAAACTTTGGTTTGGCATTTTATAATACCATGCTTTAGGGGTCATATTTTGATACAAATCCTACCTGGGCCATAATTGCTGTGTGACCCTGGACAAGGCCCCTAAGAATCCTGTGTCTTGGTTTCCCCATCAACAAAGAACATAATAAGAGCACCTATTCAGGAGGTAGTTCCGAAAATTAAGTGAACTAACTAATCCATGTAAGGTTCTTAGAACATTCCCCAGCTAACAGTAGAACCCCAAAACTGTTTGTTGTTACAAACATGTCAGATAATTACATGTCTTTCTTTTATTTGGAACTAACCGGAGGCTATAAAGCAAGTTAGAGGATTGTTTCAATCATCCATGCAAGGGATGATAGTGGCCAAAACCAACAGAATAGCAGTGAGATTGCAGAAAATAGGGAGAATGTAAGAGGCATTTGAGAAGTTGAATCAACAGACTTTAGAAGTGATAAAATGTGGGCATTGGAAAGAAAAAAAACAGTCAAAGGAGACCTAGAAGTTTCTAACCTGTGTGATGAGAGACTATTAACTGAGAAAAGAAAATAAGGGAAGTCAAGAGAAGTGGAAAATAATAATTAAATGAGTACTTACTATGTTCCAGGTGATAGTCTAAATGCTGTGCATGTACTGAGTTATTTAATCATCGTAAATTATAAGATAGGTATTAATCCCATTTTATAGATGATAAAAGCAAGTGACGGCTCTGTTATTTTTCCAAGGTCACATAGCTAATACCTGATGGAGTTAGGATTTGAGCTCAGGCTATCTGGGTCTAGAGTCCACAACCTTAACCACTCCCATATAGACTTTCTAAAAGATAAGGAGTTCAGCTGAGTTTGTGGGACATCTAAAGTGCTACTATGGAGTAGTCAGTCAAATACAGCATTCTGAAACTCAGAAGAGAGGTGAGAGATAGAAACAAAGCTAGCAATTTCAGATTAGGGGACCAGCAGTCAGGTTGCCCCCATGGAAGTGGACAAGGTGAGGAAGAGAAACTGCCATGTGACTTCCACCAGGGAAGCTGCCCCTGTTCTGGTGGAAGTCACACCTACTAGAGAAACCAGAAAGCCAGATGCTCACTGTCCCCGAGCCCTGGAGGCTGAAACTGAGCAAACAGTACCCTCCTGGCCAACCTGTGTCTCCCCACAAGACAAGTAATGCAAAAACAAAGGACAGCATAGGGTAGATTCTACTATGGCAATGCCATCAGTGTCCTGTGGTGTCCAGGGTGGCCAGGGTGGCCACAGCTGGAGTCTGGCAGCAGAGTTCCTATAAGCTGAGGTGTGATCATGGCTGGGTTTTGGCTGTCCATCTTCCCTTTGTTTCCTTGGTTCCCCTTGGTTTCCTTGGGCCACTTTTCTTAGCCTTGTTCTCTAGTCTGTCTGTCCAGCCACTTCCCCACATTCTCCCCTGAATCCCCTTTCCTGGAGTCAGTTTCCCTTGTTTAAACTGGCTCTCTGACAGGTCTAACATCAATCTGCCATTCCTTAGATAACTCTATTTTCTTTGCACTCCTTTCTAACCTGTGTAATAGATTAAGGAAGTGATTACATATTTTCAACTGAAAGCACCCCCAAGAAACAATCACCTCTGAAATTTTATTGTCAGCAATATACAGCCATAAAGAAAGATTGCCCTTTATCATAACAAGTATCCAGATGTACAAATGTAACAGGTATGAATTCTTCCACCACAAGTGCAATATTATGAAAAATGTCTTATTCAAATTTCTTAATTAAATTACATCCCAGTTCCAGCCCCCATGCTATGGACTGAATGTTTGCACCCCACACCCAAAATTTGTATGTTGAAGCCTTAATCACCGATGTGATGATATCTGGAGGTGGGGTTTGGGAGGTAATTCTGTCTTGAGGTGGAGCCCTCGTGATGGGATTAGTGATCCCTTAAGAAGGCTAAAGTGTTCTCTCTCTCTCCTTCCACCTCTCTCTTTCTCTCTCTGGACTTTCAACTCTACCCACACAGGTAGAGTATAGCAAGAAAGTGGTTGTCTACAAGCAAGGAAAAGGGTTATAACCAGATAGCAGATCTGCTAGTACTGTGATCTTGAACTTCCAGCCTCCAGAACTATGAGAAATAAGTGCCTGCTGTTTAAACCACCAGTCTGTGGTATTTTTGTTTTAGCAGCTCAAGCTGATTGAGACACCCACCTGCCAAGGTTGGGTAGGGGGGCCAATGTTAAGCAACATTCATGCCCCACCCACCACTTGGTAGCATGTAGTAATCCCCAGGCTCACCTGCTTCAGAGAAATGGATGAAAGAACTTTTTCTTCAGTCCTAAACAGTCACTATTTTTTTTTTTTTGCTGACTAGTGCCAGTGCTAGAGGCTGCGTCTCCCCAACTGTCATGCCCTGCTACCCTGAGCAGGCTGAAAGGATTCCCCCTCACAGCTTTCCTCTCCTTTACCAATGTTCCCAAGGCTACAGGACCTAGTGGCCAACCTCCCTGACACATTACTTCAGGACTTCAAAACTGCTGCCATGGAGTGCCCTGATCCAGCGACCTATAAACACCGCAGTCCTCTTCCCCAGGTTGGATCCGCAGCCTCCTGCCCCTCGGGGCCCACCCAGCCTCCCAAATACACAGCCTACACCTCTTCTGGATAGGCAGCTTCTTGGCCCTGCAACATCCAGGGCATGAAAGGAGATTGTCTATAGGTACCAACAAAGCAGATAACAAAAGAACTATAAAAGAATCCCTTTGTTTTACGCTATGAAAAAGAAGAAATTACCTCTTCCTTTTGCTAACTGTCTAAGGAAAGTACCGAGCAAATATAAAGTGAAATATCTCAATTCCAGAGATGGGATAGTAGCAGCCCTAAAAAGATAATTTTTTAATAAGAATTACTTATGATATAAAATGTACACAACCTGATATTCTGGCTTCAAGCAAAAGAAATCAGCTCATCATAGCTTAAACAAAAAGTGGGCATTTTTCTTAAGAAAAAGGTAGCTTGTCAAAACAGAAATGGAACCAGGATTCTGAAAGGACTAGAACCAGAAACTAGAAGGTTGCCAAAACCCCAGCAGTATTTTCATGTCCCTCACCTATGCTTCCCATTGCACATCTACTCCGGTTTTCTCTCTGCAGACCACCAGAGCTCTCAGGTCCCTGGGATATTATGCAGAAGGTACCCCTAGCTTCCAAGTGTGCATGTGTCTGTCCCCACCTGGGGGAAGATTCACTCAATCAATTTATCTATGTCTCTTGTTCTCTGGCTGTCTCTTACTCTCTTTTTCCATTCTTTCTCCACCTCCACAACTTCCAACTCCCATTTATCCCCACTAATCTCCAAATTCCTAGGGAATGGACTCTGGCCCAGCTATTTTCCTCCCCTGGTTTAATCAACTGTGGCCAGGAAGACAGGCTTACGCTGCTATCAAAAGCTCAATCTTAGCGTGTCAAAGGGTGGTGTATGGAAGGAAGCATAAAAAGGGAGGTGAAGCTAAAAATGGCATCTGGCTTGCTTGAATTCCCCTAGAAGCTTCCCTTGAGACAAGGATTACAATGCAAGTAGGTACTTTGGAAGGTAGAAGCAGCACCAATTAGCGGATGGGGGAGTGATTCAGGGAGGACACCAATAAGAATGACTTAGGTGGTAGGGGAAGGTTAGGGGGAGGAGGGCTTGGGCAAAAAAGAAAAAGGACTCATGGACATGGACAACACTGTGGTGATTGGGGGGGGAGGAGGTATAAGGGGACTAAAAGGTAATAGAAAAAATACAATAAAGATTAAGAATGACTCATCAAAGCAGCTACCACTGTGGATGACTCTAGAAGAGAACTCTGAGAAACATAGCAAACTACACACCTCAAAGTTATTAAGGAAGCTAGGATTCACAGCAACTACCAAGAATCCTTTGTTGTGGGCTGTTTCTAAGTGGTGGTAATTCTACAGCACTTCCAACTTGTGTCAAGTACGAGAGCAGAGTGGAATTCTCCAGTTCCAGAAAAACCCTCAGAAAGGGGATGTAGACACTGGCAGCTGGATGTCACTAGAGCGTAATGAACCAATTGAGGCCCAAAGACTGGGCCCCAATGGCTTTTGCTAAGGCTGTTATTGAATGAGGCAGAGATGTCATGGGGACTAATAACACCTACCTCCACAACCACTTTGCTGGTTCCCAACATGTTTGTCTTCATATTCAAAATAATGAAAATGGTTCCTCTGAGAAGCCACCAGAGGAGAACCCAGGGCTATGTCATGTGAGGGACAAGTGGTGCCATCAAATCAGGATCAAAAAGGCCTTCAAGCAATGGTGTGAAGTTACTAAACAGCAGAAAGAAAGTTCTCTAGCCTAACTCTGTTGAACCACAGTAATTCAAAAGGATGAAACACTGACACCGCACCATAGTACTTTATGAAGTTCATGTGATACATGTGCATGTGTGTGTGTGTTTCCTAAGGAATGCAGGTTTTTTTTTAATCGGCTGCCTTACGCATTGTTCATTGCATTGCTTTTTTTTTCTTTACATTTTTGTATAGTGTAAAGTTTCCATTGGAACAGATGATGGAGGGGGCTGGTTTTAGCTGCCA